AATTAATTTTTCATATATATTATAAAGATTTGTATGATATTCAACTAATTTTATATATATAGTTAAAACATAATCAACACATTGACATAAACGTAAATCATTATAAATTGTAAATTCATTTAAATATTTATTTAAATCAATTATATTTTCTTCTTGTTGTTTTTTTGTTTCATAAACATATTCAATTAAATTTTTATATTGAATATATGATTGAAATATATGAAAAAAATGTGATTGTTCATAAAGATTTTGAAATGTTCGTATACGATATATTTGTTGATTTAAACAATTAAGATCATGTAAAATTTTATTCATTAATTCAAATGATAATATTGGTTGTGCCAATAATTCATTATCATTTGGACCAGTATGAAGAATTTTATTTGGTGAAGGTATTAATGATTGACGAACTTTTAGCCAATGAGATGATTGTTGTTGTTGTATAATTTCATTTTTCTTAAATTAAAAATTTTATCAGCAATATTTGTCATATCGATTTAATATAGACATGTATCGAAATCAAGTCTTTTTAGTAGTTTTAATATTTGTATATTTAAGTCAAATAAATTCTGTATGTGAATATATTGTTAGTGAACAATAAAATATTAGAATCTAGCATTTATTCTTTTTTTGACAATGTCATTTCAGATTGCAAGAACTGTTCAGTACCTGAAACTACGCGGTTTGAACATTTCATGCTTTGCTTTTGGTAATGGCACTACTGGGCAGAGTTGTAACCGGTCCGGTCCTGCCGTACCGGACCGGTGCGAGATAGGACCGGCTGAGCTGGTTGGACCGGCCAGTTGTTACCGGCCCAGCTGAACCAGGTAAACCGGTCGGTTTTCGCCAGTTTTCCCGGTTTAAAAAATTTTTCTTCCGTTTACAGTTTCCTCTGTTGAACTATGTCGAGAACAAATTTCAATACGTTTATCAAAAAAGAATGAACAACGATGTTTCAGAAACTATCAGTCTTTTGTTTGTATATTTACCTATGTCTCTTTATCTCTTGGATCAAACTAAACTTCAATGTAAACAAAGCACAATGAAATTATGTTAGTCAAAAGTTATTTCCAAATATAACTTCATCAATGTTTTATTTGTGATCGTATTTGAGATTGAAGAGTAAATGTAAGAGAAATATTAAGTATTTTCGAGAAATTTTAGCAGAAGTTTTCAACACTTGACGTCTGGCAGAGAGTTCTTGTATAGATCGACTCTTTCTGATGCTGAACAAACATCACATATTCATCTTTAGGAAATCTCGAAGTTATAAGTGACTCTGGCACAGTTTTTTCTCTCTGAGACTGTCAAAGATAATGGGAAATCAAAGAAAAGCTAGTTGTTCTTAATGTTACTGCATTTAACGAATTAATCTTACTGTGTAAGACCGACCGGTTTTTACCGGTCTGCAAAAACTCTTGAAACCGGCCGGTTCTTTTACCGGTTTGAGAAAATTTTGAAACCGGCCGGACCGGACTGGTCTAAAATATAGACCGGCCGGTCCGGACCGGTCTGAAAATTTTAGACCGGTTAAAACTCTGCTACTGGGTGTACAAAAGTATTGTTCTGTTCTTGGGAATGATACTTCTCGGTGTATAAAATCTTCGACCTGTTTTTGAGAATGGAACGTCTGGGTACAGAAAATATTTATTGTGTTTTTAGGAATGGCATTTTTCGACGTACACAAATCCTTGGCTCTGTTATTACAATGGTACTCCCAAAACAAGGAGAGAATTTCTCGGACAGCTCAGTTCTAGAAAATGAACAGATCTTGCGATATAATCTGATCTACTTGAGCAGCTCTTTCGTTCATTTGATTGCAACTGGAAGTTGGTCAGTTACACTTCATTTGAAAGAATTATAAATTTAGCATCTAGTGGCAACTAATTTAAATTCTAATAGTTATTATTATTTTCAAGGCTAGATAAGTAATAGTTCGAATTCTGTATTGATAATCTCGTTCTTATAGATTTCGGTCAGAATTCCTAGAGGATTTGTTTTACTATGGCAGATTAAATGAAATGTTCAGTAAATCGAACGGATATAGATGTGAAATTTGGAGAGTATGATAAATTTCAATATTTCAGGAAATTAAATTTATATACATTATTATACTAATGATTCTTAGAGTATCCTAAAAGTGTCAGTCGAATAGACTGTTCTTTTTCCGAGATGTTGAATTGTCAAGTAAGTTTCATTTTTGTAACATGTATGTAGTAAACGACTATTTTTTAGAAAAATTCAATATCTCAACAAAGGAACATTCTATTCAGCGGAACCTTTTAGGATATTCTAAGACTTATCAGATCTATCTATGGGGAAAACTTCAGTTCGAAACTGAAATCTGATTTGTTTTAGTAAATATCTCAAAAATTACCACGAAGTGATCATAACTCGACTCCAAAAGTCCATGGAGACGGACCCCTTTACGCATATTCTAGTCTTGCTGGAATCACCTGGTGGAACTCAAACGACAGATTACTGCTGCAGTAGAGTTTCCTCATTAGTGTTATTATGGAAAGCTTGTTAATTGACTTGAATTAGTTCATTACCAAAGTTAGTTCTCTAATTTCTAATTGAAATGGATTATCTATTCAATAATGATCTTTTACTTTTACCTGTGAGGTATTATTTGATGTTGGAATTATTTTCGTATCTGGTATTGAATTTTCAATTGAAGTTTTTGTAGATTGATTATTAACGTCAATATCTACTGGTACATTTGAATGTAATGATAAAAATTGACAGAAAATATATCGACAAAAAGTTCTAAAACAATGAGATTTATCTTCTTTTCGTTTTCGTTTTGATTCTACAATTATTTCATTTTCATTTGATTTATTTGTTATTATAGATCTATCAATTTTTTTTAATAATGGAGTTTTTAATAAAGATGAACTAATAAATTGTTGTTTGGATAATTTAAATACATTAAAAATATTATTTGATTTTGATGATATTGATGATGATGATGATTGTGGTATATCGATTTGTATAGGTGATGATATAGTTTCTAATACATTATTTTTATATGGATAAATACTAATTAAAGTTGAATTTGAATCACTTGATTCACGACGTATAGATTGATCGGTTTTTGTTTCGAAATCATCTTCAACAAGTGCAAAAAATGGAGATTGAGAACGTCTTGTACACTGGACATCAAGTCCACCAGCATCATAACTATTACGACGTTTTTCTTGAACCTTGTTAGAACTATTTTATAAACAAGAATTTATACATGAAGAAATGAGAAATATCATCATGAATTTAACTAATTATCACAGTTTAGCGTGAGACTATCCGTATCGAGATATGATCTTGCCGTAGAAACATGCCTTTCTTTATAATGTAACTATTTCGACGATGAAATGTTCGTTTTGGCTCAAACTTTGGGGTGTTTATAGGGACAATATACTTCAGCTTGAAATTCGGTCAGTCAGGTTCTCAACGATTCTATGCTTATAAGGAAAAACAATTGAGTAAAAATGTTCATAACTTAACGAGAGAAGATCGATCGAATTGTAATAGCTTCAAGGGATTAGACAGTTGGCAATTTCCTCGTGTGAGTAGAGATGTAAATAATACAAAACTGAGCGTACTCAGAAGAAAATTTTCAAAAGGATTTTTTTTCATTTCTAAAAACATTCTTTTACATTTGAAAATCAATGGCAGATCTAAGATTTTGTTGGTAA